TATTTTATTTTATTTTATTTTATTTTATTTTATTTTATTTTATTTATTTATTTATTGTCATTTATTGCCAATTATATATAACTCACGCTATAGAATTATAAATGTGTATTTATTTTTAATTAAAATATTAAAAACTTTACTAGATTTCTGATGTTGATAACTGTGGAAATAATTGATTCAGTGTGCAGTGTATGGTTTCATTCATTATAACGGAAGTATGTGAGATAGCCATGAACTATAAGACGAGTGACAGCTTTTTAATTATTATAAATGGGGTTTGCAAATGTGATATTGAATTTATACAACAGTTTAATACATTTTTGATTTTATACAAAAGTTAATATTAAGGGACTTACATTTTAGGATCACTATTGTGTTCTATTTCATCAACGAAAATAGTTCCAAACAAAGTCAGAGCTGCGCATCTCCAAGCAAACACAGCAGTGTTTCGTTTATGAATGAATCTGCGCTTTTGAACAAATCTAGTGAGTCAATGATTCAATGTCCCATTCATAAAGACAGTCACTTGCTTCATTCCTAAATGATTCAGCCGTTTGAATGAATCGATTGAATGAATGACTCAGTGACAAAGACAGTGGCCCTGTCCCAAATGACACACTTCTGCCTTATTCAAATACCCACACTTGCGGTCTTTACACTTGACCACTTACAGTATAGGACATATTTCCTGTATTTGGCCCAAGTGTTCAAGTGAGGATGAAGACCAGAGTGGGCAGGATTATTCACATGTCGTTTATAGTTGCGCCGCCTTTACTGCCGCGACTCCTGAAAAACTTTTTCATTCCGCGTCGCCCCATCAAGCTCTCGCTGGATCCGCTCCTCTGCTATCAAGGAGAGGAATGTCTGTACTTCCTTCCAACGTCAGGCACGCCATTCAAAACTAATGGAAAATCGACGCAATTGGTTTACTTACCTAACGTTGAATCGATGTTTTATTTTCGGCGAAATAACGTTCTGATGTTCCGACCAAATAGTGAACGTTGATTCAACATCGAAATTTGATTGACGACCGATACTGACCTTTAACCAAAAATCGACGTTGAATCAACGTCTGCTTGCTATCTGGGGGGACAGTCTTGCACACTTACTTCCTGTCGCGTGCACGCGCTCTCAAGTGTGGGTATTTGGACAAGGCATTCATGTGCACTTTCGGTCTTGATGACTTACAATGGCCGCTGCGTGCGCGTGTCCGTTAAGTCCACGAGACCGTAAGGTGTCCCATTCGTCATTTTAGCGTTCAGAAGGGTGCTCGCGAGCGCCCCCTCATGCACCCTCGATGCGCACTTCTGC